TTATTCGTGTGTCTTTTAAGCGCAGCGCCAATTTAAAGGAGTTATTGGCTCCCTCCAACCCATATGGCAAGGAAAATACTGAAGTAGAACAATTCGGTTGTTTTAATTGTACAGCAAAGCGTTGTGACTGCTGTAAGAATTTTTTGTTAGAAGGGCACACTTTTCGTTCCGTTATTACCAAGAAAGTTTTTAAAATCTGTAAATCGCTTACATGTACGTCCAAGGCAGTGGTATATCTTGCCGAGTGTTTGGCTTGTGGTTTGCAGGGTGTTGGTTCTACTGTTAATTTTAAGGCCCGCCTTGCAAACTACAAGTCACACAGAACTTGTAGTATAGTTAATCACTTCCTGGATTGCCACGGGGCTGATCATTCATATTTGAAATTTATGCTGATTGATCAGCGTTGTGGTAATCTGTTGGAATGTGAAAACTTCTGGATTGGGACCCTTTTGACTAATCGGGGAGGGTTAAATGATAGTCATGATTTTGTGCAACAGTGACTTCTTTGTCTATCACTAAGCTTAATTAGTTATCATTATTGTAATATTTGCATATTAATGGTGTATATATATAGGTTAGAAATTATTAGTAATATTATTTCTGAGGAAGGCTGAGACATTCAGTCGAAAATTAAAACTTTATTACTTTAGTACATTTTTAGTATTGGTTTCTCTCGGATCGTAGCCAGCTATTCTGTTATATATAAATGTCGAACTGGCTGATATGAATATTGTATTTTGTCATATATATATATATATATATATATATATATATATATATATATATATATATATATATATATATATATATATATATATATATATATATATATATATGTATATATATATATATACATATATGTTGCGATAAGTTGTGAATATTCTTAGTTTATGTACTTCATCTGAACATTTACAAAGGACCAGTCATTATTTATCGATGGGGGGGGGGGGATTAATAATCTGACTCAACAAAAAATGCTTGACCCCCCTCCCCTATAAGATCTTCGAATTTCTAGTGACCCACCCATATTTACATAGATATTTTGCTTTAGCCTCCCCCCTCCTTTCTAGATCAATGATCGAGTGTATGCTGTTTGTTTTATAGCGATAGCAATAGCAGCGTCAAAACGTGGATTAGTAAATAACAGTATTTACAACTTACAACAATCAAGCCAAATTAAAGTCACTGTACACAGTCCTCATAAACATAGCGTGCCAACTAGTGGCCAGCTGGACGTCCATTTCTTGTTATTGTACTTTCGACATGCTCTTGTTCAGTTTCAACGTGAAATAGCTCTGACTTGGCTCTGACAAATAGTTCTGACTTGTGCCAGAACATCGCTTGGTCATGATATTGCTAGTATTGTTGTGTTTTAGTTGAGTTTGATTTGTTATTATTTGATCGCTGATCTAGAATAACTGTCGGTGTGACTAGTAAACAAGCTCTTGTTTCTAAGCAAGGATACCCTAAAAAAATTTCTTTTGACACCCCCCCCCACCTAAATGGTATAATAGCTGATGACCCTCTCCCCCTTTTCCATACCATAAATTCTTGTGACCCACCCCCCATTTTTATCATATTCATCCACTCGGTAACATGTATCAGAAAAAAAATTCGTACTAGAAATCGCATGTGTAGACTTGCAAGTGTAGACTGACCATTACGATCGCTAACAATGATGTTATGTCATTTTGAGGCAAGCAAATAACTTCTTCCGTGGATATATTGTCGAGTTTGTGACACTAATTAAAACGTCCATGGCGTACACATGTCGTCTACTGGGTCTGAAACATAAATTAATGCAGATAAAATACATTGAAATAACCATATATATAGGTTTTTGAATACTTAGATCAGTAGCTTCTGCAGAAAACCAGTCCTAGAATGTGGGTATAGTAATATATCAATGAAAAATGTTCAGTAATCAGTATAAACTACGCAATTCTTTACTTTAAACTCCATCAAATAATTCAAGTTTTGCAACATAGTTTGCGTGCATAAATGTTATTACTAGGGCGGCCAATATTTCTTCAAAGTTTTCTGCATATTTGTGTTCCTCCATTGTTCAAATGATTAAACACATATTCAATGCCATGGAGAGGTTTTCGTTTTGAAATGATGACAAGTACTTGATAAACAGTTCCATTCCCTGTGAAAACATCGTTGTTGTTGTAATGTTGTAGTTGAACACTTTTATTGATAACCTCTCGTATACATGCACATGCAAAACTAACTAATAAAACTATATCTATTGACGCCAAAAAGTCTTCATTGCGCGTGGTCCACCTGCGCGCCAAGGCAACAAAACAACAATGAGTTTATTAACTACATTATATCCCTGCCTTTGTCAGATAATAGTTCCATCTATTAATATAAACATTATCGTGTCCGAGTCACTGTTCCTTTGACTAATATGCTGTGGACAGTGATATTGTCCGAACTGTCATTTCGCTCACATTGGTTCATAGTTTACATAGTCCGCGAACCTTGCTGGTTGTCTTACGTTCCGTTTCGGTCTTTGTTGAAGTGTTTTTTGTTCTTGGGGGTTTGATGGTCTTGGAACCTTTGGTTCAACTTCCTTGTCATCGTGTTTGGCTGACTTGGTTGAAATCACCTTGAATTGCGAGGAGATTCGTGTGACAACCTTTGAAACGTTCTTGGCAGTAACCATTGTTCCCTTTTTCTTTTCTACGACAAATGGTTGAGGGTTGTATGGAACACTGAATTTGTTTTCCTTCGGCTGTTTCAAAAGGACGGTGTCACCTGGTTTGATGCAACTTTATTTGGCACCCCGACGGTTGTCTGCGCAAGATTTCATTTGTTCTTTCTTCCGACATCATATTCAGCCATTGCTTTCTGTTCTGGTTTTGAAGTAGAGGGCATCTCCGGTAACATTGTCTTTATCTTCCTGTTGTTGAGGCTTTCGGAGGGGGATATGTTAGTAGTAGAATGGGGGGTTGCCCTGTAGTTGAGGAGAAACTGGTTCATCGCTTGCTTCCAGTTTTTCTTCTCGATAATTGCAGCCCGAATACATTTCTGTAGTGTGCGCATAAAACGCTCGGCCTCTCCATTTGCTTGAGGCCAGTATGGCGTGATGTTGCGGTGAGTAAAACCGCAGTGTTTGGCGTATGACTCGAACTCGGGAGCGTTAAATGGCGGGCCATTGTCGCTTTTCAGAACTTCTGGAAGGCCTTGTCGTGAAAATATTGCATTCAACTTTGGAAGGACAGCTTTTGCGAAAACCGTGGTGAGTACTTCAACTTCGGGGAACCGACTAAACGCATCGATTACGACTAGGAAGTATTCACCAGTTGGAAAAGGGCCCAGGAAATCCATTGCAACTTCTTTCCAAGGTTCGGATGGCAGCTGGGTCATCTTGAGTGGCTCAGGTGGAGGGTGGTTGCCCGAAGTAGCAACCTGGCAGGGGAGGCAATTCTGAATGGTTTCTTCGACCATCTTGTCAATATTAGGAAACCAGACTTTCGAGCGTAGTAGACGTTTGGTTTTAATGATTCCTTGATGACCAATGTGTGCGAGATGGATTGTCCGGCGTCTTAAGGAGGTGGGCATTACGATTCGGTGTCCACGAAGTATAATTCCTTTATGCACTGACAGTTCGTCACTCACTTTCTTGTATTCTGTCGTGGACGGATCCGACCAATTGTTGGTTTCGATGGCTTGAATGACCATTTGCATTGTGTCATCAACTGATGTTTCAAGCTGGATTTCCTGAAGGGTCATGGCGGTGGGCACGGCATTGGCACATACATAGTTAACGTATTCTTCAGCAACGCTTTCCGGTTGGGGCTCTGAGCAGTTTGGGTGTCGGCTAAGGAAGTCAGCTGTGTTTTTCTCATCTTTACCAGGTTTGTACACAAGATAATAGTTGTAAGGCATTAGACGGAGCTTCCAGCGATCAATTCGTGCGGAGGTGACTTTATGACTGCGAAAGATACCAATGAGGGGCTGATGATCGGTTATGATGGTAAATTGAGCACCATATAGGT